AATCATGTTTTACGAAACTGAAGCAATCGACCAAAACAGAAAATGAAAAGAAATACTTTAAAAATCAGTAATCGAAAATGTCTACGAACGATTCATTCAGTCATTCATTTCGCTCGTTTTGTTTTGTTTTGTTTGTTTAATTCATTTCTCCAAACATTTATCCTTTCATTATTTCTTTTTGGATATAAATTAAAGCAAAATATTTGCTATCTTTTTTTCTTTCTAGAATTTGATTGAGATATTTCGAGCGATTCACTCCTGTCTTACACTTTTGTTTTCTTTTGTTCATTTTCTTTTCAAAAACAACAACAAAAAAACAACAAAAAATGAATTGAAAAACACTTACATCATTAATTTACTTTGAAATCATTCATTTCATTTCATTCATTCATTTCATTTCATTCTATTCATTCATTCTAGAAAAATAACCTATTCGATGATTATGATGATCCAAACAAAACAGAAATCAATGGATAGATTCATTCTATTATGGCATTCTTTGCAATTTCTTCAAATAATGATTATATCAAGATTTGTAATTATCAAGTAAATGATTGAATGTCTAAATAAATAAACAAGATGCTGCTCATTTTACTGAATAAACTAAATTTATCTAATCTCTGTAACGAAAACGATCATTTTTACACTAAATGATTGGTCTTTTCTTTTTCTTCTGTTGCCTGAAGTTGTATGGATTCACTTTCGTTTTTTTTTTACATCAATCGAACTCAGACTATGCCCGAAAGAATATAGAAAATTTTTGAAACGATCCATTGATAATCGACCAGAGAATTGAAATTCATAATTCTAGTTTTCCAATTTTTCAAAAACTTTTTCGGAAATTTCAAAAATTATGCCCCTAAACAAAATTGCCAAAAATTTTTAGCTTTGATTTTTTTTCGCCATTGCAAATGTTTGTGTTTGTTTCGACTTGTTATTAAAAAGAAAAATTGAATTTTTGTTGTTGTTGTTGCAGTCGCTTGGCCATCATTTTCTTTGTGTGTGATTATATAACCATAATGTTCAGATGATCGGACGTTTTTTTCTTCTTCTTTGGAAATTGGATATCTAACATCATAGTTCATGTTTGTTTATAAATTGCTTTCATATTCAACTATTTTGAAATCTTAGCAAAAATTTTAACTAACCAAACATATCTCTGGCAATCAATTGATGTTTGACCTCAATCATCATCATCATCATTGGATATGCAAAATATATTCGCCTGGATAAGATGATGAAAACATTGATTTTGACATGTCCAGAATCAATGTTTTTTTTTTCTAAACAAAATTTTTCTGTTTTGTTCTTGTTTATTTTAGAATCTATCGTGATTTTGATATTTTGTCTTTTTCAAATGTCGACAAATCCCATTATAAACACATTGTTCATTTTTTCTGTTCACTAGAATTGATTGATAAAATACACAGGAAATGCTCTCTGCATGTCGGTTGAAAAAATTCAACATATTGTGAATTTGTTTCATCGAAAATATACAAACAAACATATAACAATATCCAGGCGATTTTGTTGGAAGATTCTTTATTCATTTTTTCCATATTGTTTATTTGTTTGTCTTATTTGTTTTCTATTTCGATTCTAAGAACAAAAAAAGAAAAAGAAGAAGAATCCGTTGTGGAAATAGAAAAAATAAAAAAATAAACTAATATCAATAACACGAGAATGTAAAAACATTATCCATCCATCGTTGTTTGGCAATTTCGCTTTAGACGATGCTTAGGATTTTCGTTCAATTATTCGGTCACTTGTGTGCTTTTGTATTGCGCGGAATATTATATTTTTTTTTGTTAGAAAAAAGTTTCGCCAGAAAATTGCAACAAAAAAAAATGCCGAAAAAAATCGATACAACAGAAGGCAAAAACTAAAGCAAAAAAAAACAACCAGTGATTTTCAACTTTTTTTCTGTTGTTCTTGATGTAGAATTTTGTGACTGGGGAACGAATGATTTAACAACCGCTGTACCCATTCGAGAATCGTTCCAGGAACGAGTCCAAAAATTTTTTTTTTGATGAAGTGAATATCACATGTGCATATTTCGACTATTTGGATTCTACTTATTCACATTTCTCAATTGTTTCTCTCTCTATTTTATGGTGAAATATGAATATTTATCACTTGGAAACTTTTTGCTTTTTTTTCTCTCTCTCGCACTTAGTCTCTTTTTTTCTTCTGAAATCTGAGTTGATTTTTTTCCTCTAATATTTTTTTTTGCCTATAACTATCTATTCTCCTATCTGATGTGTTTGTCTGTTGTTATTGTTTTCCTCATAATATCTATTTAGCCAGAAAAAAATGATGGAAACAAATTTGTTTTCCCTCATTTATTTCATTGTCTCTGATCATCATCATCATTATTATTATGATAATTTTCATTAATATTAAAAACACAATCTATTAATGGGAGCTATTTCTGTTTTAAGTCATTTGAAAAAATGTGAAAAAAACAAACAACAAAAAACTAAATCAATTTTATTAGTTTAGTTTATAATTGAATGTTTTGTAGAAACAACAACAATATTTTCCATAGAAAAAAATAAGGTTTTTTTCAAATTTTTTTTTTGTTTTCAAAAAAATGATTTTTATTTGTTTGGAAATGATTTTACAACAGGAACAACAACAAAAAAAGATGAAAATTACCAGAACATGGATGTTTTTTGGGGAAAAAAAGAGTGATACTGAATTCGATAGAATACAACAAACAGCAACAACAACAACAAAATCATGGCGTGTTTTATATGATTCTATCTATGAGACAACATATTATTCTCATATTGATGATGATAATGATAATAATGTGTAACCAGATATCCGAGCAAGAAAAAACTTGATTCATACATTATAGATATCATAAAATATACAAATAATAATAAATTGATTATGACGACAACAACGAAACTGATGATCATTGATGATGATCATCGTTTTATATCTTTTTTTTCTGTTTCATGGTTTGTTGTTTGTGTTTGTCAAGTCATGGATCATTGCCAATAAATGTTATTATGGTTTTGAATGGATTTATCTACCAATCCCGATTGAATTTCGATGTTTTTTTTATTTATTTTCAGATTCTTTTCCTGAATCACATATCAAATACAATATCAGATTTATCCATTGCTTGTTGATGACTATTTTTTTTATTACTTTGTTGGTCGTTTACTATTTCCATCAGCAGAAATGAAACTATTCATTCAATTCGATTTATTATCATTTCTGTTGACCATGTTGTCACAATTGTGTGAATATATTGAACATGGTAAAACAAGATTGATTTTTTTTGGCATCGCTTGATGATGATGAGGATGACATACATTGATGATGCAAAAAAAATGTCCTAATTATTAATTGCTATATTGATTGTCACAATAAAGATTCACATTGCTGTCTACCAATATTTGCGATTGACAAACTTTATTATTGTCCATCATTATGATCATCATCTGTGCTGACATCCCCAAATGATTATGATTCTCTATTACAATCAAATTTCATTTCTTTTCACTATTTCCATTTGTCTTTATATGAATCTTGGAAAACCAATAACCATTCTTGAATGAAAATAATAACAAAGAACTTCATCAAATTGAGAAATGATGAAGAATTTTCATTTCTTTTCACCCTATCATGATAGCTTTTAATGAGCTCTTGTTTTGTTTGTTTGTAAAGGGCAACAACAATAATAATAATAACGACGATGATAATAATAACTGTTGTATACATAAATTCGAATATAAATTGCCAGATTCTTCTCTTATTCTTGTTGGCCTTTCCATTCTTGTTCCAATCATTAATTGTATATGGTGTGTAGTCGAATAAAAAAATTTTTCTTTTTGTTGCAACAAATTAGTGTTAAAAAAAATAAAATATGAAGAAGATACTAATTAACACATTGCTTGTTTCGCTTGCTTTGTGTTTGTATTTGGTACACACTAATGAGAATGAAAGATTACATAGAATTCTCTATGAAAACAATGACTCTGTGAGAATCATCTTCTTGTAAAATAATCAATTAATTGTGTGTGTGTGTGTGTTTGAACTTCAAAAAAATGTTTTTTCCCCCTTTTTTTTTATTTAACCCTATGCCATATGAACAATGTAAATGTCATTTTCATTTGTATGGATTTTTTTTTTTACTTTTAAAAAAATACAGTTACATCTCGGTTTACTGATTTGTATATAGCTGATTTCAATTTGTTCGTTATTTAAGGGAATATTTTCGCTAACTTTGATTGAATTAATTAAGAAGTAGAAGAAGAAAAAAGTTTTTTTTAGTTTAAATTTTTTTTGATTTTTTCTCAATTAATTCATTTAATCTTCATTACTTTTTACTATTATTTATTTGCCTTATTATGTTTTATATGTTTGAAAAAAAGATTGAAATAATCCACTTGTCATTCTGGATTCAATGTTTATGTTTTGAATGTAACCATGTTTTATTTTTTTTTTTGCTTGTTGGTTGGTTGATTGCTGAATGATGTCGGTAATCAATCAATCCAAAAAGGGGTCTGTGTTTTGTATCTTTTTTTTCGGCTATTTTCCATGATGATGATATTCGACATTGTAAATAAATGAATGTTTTTTTTAAACTAGTGAAAAATTATTCGGATTTGTCTTCACTTTGAAAATTTTGACTATTAGATTAATATAGCTGTAATGAGATGATAAGGACGTTGCACTGTTTGTATCTTCTTTTTTTCCCTAATTCCGAATTGAAATGCATATAAATCATGGCTACATTTATCACTTTCAGGTATCATTCAATGGTTATGTTCAAGTCTTGAGTTTTTACACTTGTAAGAAAAATAAATGAATGAATGAATTAACTTAAACATCGTTAGATTGAGTTGTCAAGATCATATCGTAAAAACGATGAGTTTCTTCAACGAATTTTTGTTCATTTGGTTAATTATGATCATTATCGAATACGATTTCTCATTAACATTTCTAAATTTTCATTATTTTTATTTTTTCTTCATTTACAGGTGGAACAACCATCAATAACAATCAACATGAAGATCATCAACGTGTTATGGTCAAAGGTATTGCCCAACAATCAGCCTCATTGCCTTGTTATATTGATGAAGAAAATTGTGGTGCCATCTATTTCCTTACATGGAGTCGCCTTGATACACGTGATAATCGTTGGTCAAGAATTTGGGTCTATTCTGATGATAATGTTAATAAAGCACTTAATTTATTAACTGGACGAGCAATTTTTACCAAACAAAAATCTGAAGCTCGTTTAGTTATCAATTCATTAAAACCGTCCGATGAAGCATTTTATAAGGTAAGTTTAAAGGAATTTTCCATTATTATTTTTTGCATTGAAATTATTAATATGAATAGGGTTTGTTCATTGATGATGATTGTTAAGTTATGGGAGGATGAATTTCTTTTCTTTTCCTGATTGTTATTTAAATTCAAAAAAAAATAAATCCCAGACCCATAAACCAGAAACATACTTGACGACAAACTAAATTAACTTGATATGTGTGTGCGAGTAACAACCAAGCAAAATTAATCAAAATTCTCATGATTATGTCCATTCATTTTTGGATAAACATTTTTTTCACTCAAAAAGTTAAATAGCCGGATCGAGTGTGAGAATCATTTCGAAACAATTACCAGAAAAAAAAAGAAAAATTAGCTGACCTTTTTTTATTCAATAAAATTGCCAGATTTAAATTGAAATTTTGTGTACAAAATGATGATTACTATTTGTGAATTTAGTATGTACTGGTATCTATCAAAGTTTTAATCGTATACAAATGCTAACCAAAACATACTTCAATCCATTATGCTCAAATGTTTATCCATTAGAGTTTTTTTTGTCTTGGATTCTCATTAGTTTTAGTTTGAAGATTTTTCTTCATACTTGTGTCTGTGAGTGTATCCACAAGAATAGCCTAGTCGTCAAATTCAAATAGTAAACATGGTTTTTTTCATTCAAGTTTTTGTATCTCTATTTCGAATGTTTGGTTTGTTTTTTCTTTCTTTCTGGTAAGTTTGTTTTAGTGAAAGATCCAAACAATTTGATTCTGATTACGATGAGCAAACAATTTTTTTCTATTCTACATTCTTGTTCTATATATAAACGACAAAAATAAACAAACATTATTTCCAGAAATGTAATGGTATTGCTTCTATTCGATTTGAATCTTTATGTTGTTTGTATTATTGGATGGTTGTAGAATTGACATCAGAAATTTCCCATGAAACAAATTGATTTAGTTTAGTTTTTTTCTTGAATATGCAACCAAATTTGTCATCATTTTCTTTGAGAATTCGCTAGAAGAATATATATAGAAGTCAATTCAAAAGCAAAACATTTACAAATCTTGGATAATGGCTGGTAGCAGCCAATTGACAATTTACCTTTATATTCAAAAATCAAATCATTATACCCTTTATTTGATTTTCAAAACAAAAAAAATTGCTTTGGGAAAATTTTTCATTTGTTTCGTTTGTGATAACTTTATTCTCAAAGGATTCATTATTCATATTCATATTCTTCTAAGTTTTTAAGAATTTCCTGCTTAATTCTTGTCAGAAACAAAGCAAAACAAAAAATTCATAATTATTTTTCATAATAATTTTCTGTCGTTTTTGGAAAATAACAGAATTTTTTCTTTTCTTGTTCTTCTTGTTCATTTCGAATGAATGAAAAATGGAAAATCACTTTAGCTCAATTGTCAGCTATTCTTTTGTAAAATTTTCTATGTGTGTATGATGTAATACAATTGAAAAGAATGCCGACAAAACGTATGACTTTTTGGAAAAAACTTTCTCACTTGTTCATTCGAATAATGAGAATGAAAATATCAAAAAAAGAAAAAGAAAAATTTGTTCCAAAGTTTTTTTGGCCGTAACCAGAATAAAGAAGAAAAAAAATACCGAACGAAAGTAGACGATGAAAACAGGGAGAGAGAGAGAAAAAAGTTCAAATTTACATTTTGATTGTGATTATTATTGTGAAATTAGCTTTTCAAATAATAATAATAAAATGAAATGAAAAAAAAGTGAATAAAAAGCAAAATGAAAAGGGGTTGACGAAAAAAAATGTGTTTTTTCTTCTTCTTCTTATTCTTTCAAAATTCCATACTTACCAGTTTCCCATTTTACAAGTTTTTCTTTTCAAGATTCACTTTTCTTACCCAAAATCATTTTGTTTCCATTGTTAATTGAGAATTATTACATCATGGAAGGAGAGGAGAAGTGGAAAAAAAATATGATTCAAATTTCTTTCAATCTTCCATTCTAGAAGATAAGAAATTATTATTTTTCTCCCATTTACATATGCAGAATTTTTTTTCGAGAGATGTTTTGATGAATAACATACACACAGTCTTTATTGAATTCATTTTTTTTCGTGAAAAAAAGTTTGCTTGCAGTTCATAATATAAACAAGGTGAAATGTAATGTATTTTCTTCCTTTCTTTTTTCTTGATTATTATTAAAATGTCATATTCATCATCAAAAAGATGTAAATTACCTTAACATTTTTATCAGTTTTTTTTTGGTTGTTGTTTCATTCATTCATTCATTTATAATCATATTAACAGTTATGGATGGAAATAATTTGTACCAAACACATTTTTTACAACTTGTCACATCTGATGTGTCTTTTTTCCTCATCATCATAAATGAAAAGAGAAATTCTGTTTTTTGATAAAGTAACCAACAGTGAAAAATGTAACAAAATTTAATCAAATTTTTTCAATTCTTGATGTTTGTTGTTGCTGAGATTCAGAAATATCTATCATCATCATCAAATGACAAACATAAACAACAACCAAAATGAAAGAAATTCTTCATATTTTTTTGATTTACTGACAGCTAATTTGTGTGAAGAGTGATATACATTTTTGCCTGTCGATGTGATTGTCATCATCGATGATGATCATCATCATCACATATTTATCAATTCCACATTTTCTTGCCATAGTTTTGGTTGACAGATACAGTTTTTTTATCTATTTTGTCAAATCGATAATTCATTTTTTTCATTCATTCATTTTGTTGAACAATAAGACGAACGAACTAAAAAAAAGTGGCATATGTGTGACAAATGAAATTGATACAGAAAAAAAAATGAATGAACAACAACAGACAGACAGACAGGTTCCATCATCCAAAAAAATGTCTATCGAAATCTATCAAGATAGTGAATTGAAATAAAAAACTGAACCATATCTCATTGGATTTTTGTTTTGTTTTGTTTGAATGATCATGATTGGTTTTTTTCTCTTTATATATCGATAGATACCATTCACTACCATCATCATCATCATTTTCGATTTTCTTTGTTGTTGTTGTTGTTGTCTGATTTTGATTCAAGCAACAACAACAAAAACTTAATAAGATAAAAGTTTTTTTCTTTCTTTTTTGCTTACTAAAATCCTATTTATTTCCGCTTCTTTTTTGTTGTTGTTGTTGTTGTTTTCCAATATCAAAAACAGTTATATGAACAATTGTCATTGAACCACCACCAAATAATAATCTTTATGATTTTGTTTTTTGTTGTTGTTGTTCAGGAGTTTCAGTTAAGAATGATTAAAAAAAACAAAACTGAATTTGAAAAAAAAGAAGAAAATTTTCAGTTTAGTTTTAGTTGACTTGGCTTTTTTTGTTTTGTTTTGCATTTCTTATTATTTGTTGTTGTTCTTTCGATCATCATCATCGAAAAAACAAAAAAGAAAGAATTTCAAGTTTGACATTTTATAATAAAAAAGCTTAAAAAGTTTTTTGTAAAAATTTTCGCTTGATTTTCTCAATATTTTTGCATCGTTTCATCAATAAATTAACGGTTCATTTGATCAAGGAATTTTTTTCCTGTTTTTGAATTTTTATGGGTATCATTATGATGATGATGATCATGATCATCATTATTATTATTAGTATGAATAGTTAGTAATTAGTTTTTTGGATGTTTTGCCAACAAACAAAAAGAGTAAATTCTTTTGCGCATTGATGGATTTACCTAGCTATTCGTTTTCGTTTGAAAAAAAAACAAAAAACATCATTTTTCCTATCTACATTCCATTCCATGAACTATAATTTCCAAGAGAAAACTTCCATTGATTATGATGATGATGATGATGATGAGAAAAAATTTTCCAAACTATTTCACCGCCTGAAACGTTTAAATTGATCCAATATTTTTATTTTTTTGCCATAAACCATAGGGATTCTTGATAGTTTTTGCGATGGTTTATTATGGTGAAAAAAGAATCAAAGAAGGCGAAAAAAAATCGATGATTAATGAATCAAAGAAAGAGGAAACCAAGAAATAGATAGATGGATAGATAGATAGATAGAAAATAGCTATTGAAGGTTTCATTTTCGTAATGTAATCAGTGGTTTCAGTAACAAAAACAGTATTTTTCTCGATGTGTTTCACGTAAGTAGTGTTTGAATGTTGTGTGGTCATCATACCGATTTCTAATTAAGACCATCAACAAACAAACAGAAAAAAACTTAACAGGCGACAATGATCAAATCAAACAGAAACAACAACTAAATGCAATTTACTCCCACAATTCCGCAAAAAACAAAAAACAAAATACAAATAAAGATCTGTGTGTGTGTGTGCGTTATGTCAATGGTGAATTGTATTTCTCACAAATGTGATTGTCAACAGAGATGTGAACAGAAAAAAAAATCTTTGTTATATTTTTTTGCTTTTATCAAATGACACCAATATGTGTTTGACTTAATTATTCTATTGGCCAGTTTTTTTCCGTTGTTGTTGTTGTCATCATGAACAACACTCAAAGTTTGGATAGTTGAAAAAAGCTAAACTAAACTAAACTAAATAAAATCAAAAATCGAACAACATTATGTTTTGAGATTTGCTACACACAAACACACAGAGAGACAATATGGCCAATATGGTCTTTGGTTAGTTAGCTATCGGTCTCTGGAGAACTCTGTGTAGGCCAAAAATGGTCTGATTTCATATCGGCCAATTGGCTTCCATTTTTTCTCCCCTTTTCTATTCTTTTCGATAGTGAAAAACGATGTAGCCAAAATCAAAATCAAAAAAGATTCGATTTTTTCCGATTTGTTGTTTTTTTCACTTCTTTACTTGATACTTGATGATGTTCACATAGTGTGTGATCAGTTGCAAGTCAGTCCGGCAAATCCGGATGGATTCATTTTCATTCATACAAATTTTATGTTCATTTCATTCAAAGCTTAGTTTTTTTTTGTTAGTACCATTAACATTGGTACCAAGAAAAAAACTCATCATTCATCAATTGATCCATGAGAGCAAGCAAGCAAAAACAAGAATCACAGAATAAATAGAGAGAACGAGAGAAAATAAATAAATGAAAAGTGACAGTCTTGATCTCTTTATATTTTTTCATCTATCCATTCATTCATTTTTTTCTGTTCTTGGCCGATCGGTCTTTGGTAGTAAGTTAATTTTTATTTAATTTATTTTCATTATATGATCATCGTGATCATGATAACCATTTGTAATGGATAAAAACACAAAAAATTCATTTTCACCCGCAGCCAAAAAAATACTAGCATTATAAATCTGATTTTTTTCTCTTTAGACAGAATATTCTCGTTTGTTTTCATACATTCAATGTTCAACTTGGAACTGTAACATGCAGAATCAAATGATTGATCATTATTCTAGGCCATTTTTCACTAATAATAATGTCCAGTTTAGAATATACACATTCAATTTACATTAAAAAAACCCGGTCCAAGAATTAAGGAATCATTTAGAAGTTAGGCTAGGACCTAAATGATAATAATAAAAAACCATTATTAGATTTCCATTGTTTTTTTTTGTTGTTGGATTTCTTGATTCTTGATAGACCATTGGTTGGTTGAACAAAAAAAAATTGGCCATATTTGTTGAACTCTAATAAACAATCATCATCTAAATGGAAAAAGCCACGTTATTGTTTGTTTTTGAATATTATAATTTTATCACATTAATAAAATGATTGTTTTTCTTTACAATATCAATAAAATCAGCATAAAATCGAATATATAATAATGGTTTTTATTTCTTTTATCCAACCCCTTTTCTACCTACCTATCTATTTATAATAATTTAGTGCGATGTCACTTATGTAGCCGGTAAATGTCCATCATTGACTTATGTGCAATTGAATATAATCGGTAAGTAAACCATATACACATTGTTTCATTTGAATGTACAAATATTAGCCTCATTTTTTTTATTTCACTCTTGATATATATCCTGATTGATTATCTGTCATATTGTTTATTTCATAAACAAAAGCCAAACCAAGCCGTTCATGGATTGAACATGAAGGCGATATTCTAACAAATGGTCATCATTTATCATTGACCGAAGGTGATTATCTTAAATTGGCATGTACTGTGATTGATGCACGACCAACACCGATTTTAATATGGCGTTCGGTCGATTCTCGTGGTCAAACATTCGAGCTTATTAGATCAACAACGAATAGTGAATCATTTATTATTACAACTGGAACAATTTCCGGTGATGAATCTAATTCTAATTCAGTAATGGATCGTGCAACATTAATATTGAATAAAAAATTAACACGTGATGATCTTGGTTCAAAATATGAATGTCATATTGAACATGAAACAATCGATAATAATACAATGGATAAACATGTTGTTCTTGATGTTAATGGTAAGTCGTAGATTTCATTCTAACCCAAAAATAAAAGAAAATAAAAAATCTCAATTGATTGACATACGCCTAATCTATATTATTTTTTTTTTGTTGTTGTTGTTTGATGTAAAACGATTAGTCGGTATTAAAACAATGGAAATAATCGGACCAAGTACATCGGTACGTGAAGGCGATATAGCTGTGATTGAATGTGTGGCCTATGGAAGTAAACCGGCTGCCGAAATTGTTTGGCGCAACGGGTAAGTCAAATGTTTTGACTGATCTTTGTTATACTTTTGAATCATTAACCATTTGTGATTTTGTTTTATATTTCATATTTCTAGTTCTAGAATAATTGATGGACATTCAATACAGAATACTATCGAAACAAATATCGATCGAATCACTGTCAATAGTCGATCAAAATTAGAGATTATTGTTGGCCATCAAGATCATCTGAATCCTATCACTTGTGAAGCAGCAAATGTAGCAATGCGTACGCCTATCAATAAATCAACTGAAATATCTGTTCTTTGTAAGTTTTTTTTCTTCGAATTTTAATCAGATTTTTATTTTTTTCTTCATTCGATTTGATTTATTCATATGATGATGGTAATGATTCGAAAAAAAACGATTTATTCTTGATTTTTTTTCTTTACTTTGCTTGACAGTTGCACCAATCGTTGTGATGGAGCCACAAAACGGTGTAACCGTTAATGAATCAACACCAATGGTAAAGATTTATTGTACCTATAAGGCTAATCCTAGCCAATTGTTAGAAAATGAAACCATTTGGTTTAAAGATGGTCGTCGTTTAGACATGAGTGATCGTAACAAATATATCATTGAATCAGCAATCAATTCACCAACATTAGTTATATTGGATGTTACTAGAAATGATACTGGCCATTATCATTGTACATTGGCCAATACATTTGGTTCTGGTGTGCCTAATAGTTCTATTTACCTGAATGTGCTTTATCCACCTATCGTTTCATTGTTAGTATATCCTGATCCTTCATCATCAAATTATTTGCTCAAAGAAGGTGATGATTTACGAATGGTATGCGATATTCATGATGGTAATCCTCGATCAGCATCACGAATGCGTTGGCTTAAAAATAATGGTGAAACTTTTAGTGAATTAGATGGTGATACTAGTACGCAAAAAGAATTGTCATGGCTTAGTATACCTAGAAGTTTGACAGGGAATTATACTTGTCAAGCAATAAGTGAAGCAGGAGCTAGTGATCTTAGTAATGAAATCGAAATCATTGTACATTATCCGCCTGGTAAATCAATTATACGACTATTGGATGAGCCGTATCCAATAAAAGGAAGAAATCTTACTTTAGAATGTATTGTTAATGATTTTGGTAGTCCTTCAGATCATACTGAATATCATTGGGAAAATAGTGACGGTATGGTTTTTGAATCTCGACAACCAATCTTGACTATACAGAATGTACGTATTGTAAATCGTGGTAATATTTCATGTTCAGCTGTCAATGAAGTTGGTTTTGGTGCTCGAGGCCGATTTGAATTAATTCCATATGCACCACCTCGTTTTATCAATTCTTTACCACCGACAATCGGTGTTAATGAAGATTTTCGTAGTTCAACATCATTTTCAGAATCATCATATTCGAATTATAATCAAAATGAAATGAACACTGCATCATGGAATGGTAATGGTCAAACATATGGTTATATGACTGGAAACGATGGTAATGGTTTATCAAAATCATCATCTTCAGAAAGTTCCGAACTGGTCACCTTATATTGTCGTGTAGAATGTTTTCCATTATGTTCACTACATTGGTATCGTAATGATCAACCAATTGATAATAGTACAAGAAGTGAATATCGTATTATTGAAGAACAGTTACCGGAAGAATTTTTACTCAATCGTTTTCCTGGTATTGAATCTACACTTACATGGAATATATCAAAATCTGGCCGCAGCAAATTAGATCGTGTTCGTGATTCTGGTACAACATTTTCCTGTGTTTCCAGTGGTAATCTTGTTGGACCATCAGTTCGTTCGGATTCTAGATTTCAAGTTGAATGTAAGTACAACTTTTTCTTTTTTTTTCTATTGAAAATGTACTCAAATATACACAGTGAATTTAATCCAGTTTGAACCTTGGAATTGGATAGATTAATTAGCTTTGAGAATTTGCTGTTGCTTTGAAACAGAACATCAGCAGCAGCAGGAAAAAAAAACGACACAAAAGAGATTTAGTTTTTTTGTGATGGTGAAATACGTATGTTTTTTTTTGTTTTTCTGGTTGTTGGAAAAGCTTAATGACGGAATTCATTAATGTATAATGTCATTGCCAAACGAAAAATTCGATTCAATTCCATTTCCTCTGTTTAATTATAGACTAGCCATACTATTAGTATTTTTCAATTCCAAATACACAAAACCATATATGGTTCTCTTATTTTCTGATGACTAAATTAATTTGCCAAATTGTTCAATGTGTCGATATGGCCACACTATGTCCAGCAGTAATTGGCTAGTAATAATAATAATAAGTCGTTCCTAGCTTTATCGATGATATTTTTTAATTTGAAATTTTTATTACCAATGTTTCCAGCCTGGCTTTTTTCGTTTTTTTTTCTGTATTCTTGTTTTTTTTTTTTTGAATTCTCAATGGAAACCAGGAATTTACTCCCAGTATAGTCCATCCATAAGCAATTTTGTTGAGTTCCGGTTTATTTTTTGTTCTTTTTTTCAAGCTTTCAACTTTCATTTTCCCATTCTTGTTGGCGTGTCGGCAAATTTTTTTCTTTTTTTAGCTTTTTGGTTTGATGAAATCCGTTTTTTTTCTCTCTAGATTTTCTCTGGTTTTACATAGTTGATCATTGTTATGATGATGAGAATAACAATGGCTACCATCATTATTATGATGATAGTCATCATAATCATTACATTAGTTGATGGCTACTATTCTCTTCTCATAGTCGTTTATTCGCTTCATTTTGTTCATTTATTTCTGGATATCTATCTATCTATCCAATATCTTTATGAAGGAAATCTATTAGCTTGTTTCATTTTTTCTCTGTTTTCTTTTACATTTTCATCTCTTCTCTCCTCTATCCATATCCACTTATTAAAATCCATGATTCTGTTGATGGACAAGAAACAAAAACAAAAAACACGATAAATTGAATAGTGTAGAATCGTGTTATTATTATTATTATTATACTGATTCTTTGATGTGATTGAGTGATGAACGAATGAATGTAAAAAAATAAAAATAATGAAAGTACCAGTGCCAATGATAGTGATTATGATCATATATTGTCTATTCCGTGATTTTTTTTTCTGTATATGGATCCATTATATCAAACTGCGCTTCCAGCATTACTCATTTATGACTGTTTTTTTTGTTGTTGTTGTTGTTGTTCATCAAATGCATTTCACATATAAAGAATCATATCATATTGGTCTGATGAATTCAAAAGCTTTTTCTAAACACACTGAATTCATATAAAAGAAAATGTTTTTTGTTGTTGTTGTTTTTGTTGTCGGTACATTGATAATGAAAAAAAATCTGTTTTCTTTTTCCATCTCTCATTCAATTCTTGTTGGAATGAAGCAAAAAACAAAAAATTTTCATCGACTAATTGCGTACAATATTGTACTGCTGATAATGAAGCCATTGGTTTCGGTGTTTGGTTTTAAGCTTTACTATCATTATCATTATCATCATAATCATCATCGCCATTGACTTGATGGCTAAAAGTGAAAAATATTTTTGTTTTCAGCTTCACGATTCACCAATGGTTTTTTTTGCTAGAGAAGACCAACAAGCCAAAACGAAAAAATAAAAAATAAAAACAATTTTTCCGTTTTTCTACGGAACAATTTCAAGTTGCTCAATTTTCATGTTTTCATTTCGGATGTAATTTTTTTTCATTTCTTTCTTTTTTTTCTGGTTATGGCCGCATCATTTCAGTTTTTTCTTTGGTGTGTATGTGTGTGATGCCAATTCGATTTTTTTCGACTTGCCTTTTATTCCATGGTTATTATATCGCTCGATTCTTTTTTTTCATTTTATGGCTTTATTTTCTATAAAAGACACACTTATTGAATGTTTTTTTTTTCTTTAATTTTTATTTTTCTTCGTTTCAAAATTGCTGTTGTTAGTTTTAAAAGAGGCAATGTTTCAATTAAGAAGCAAAATAGAGAGAGAGAGAGAGAAAACTAATCTCTGGAATAAAAATGTTGGGCCCTTTTTTTCCTCATACACAGTATTCCTACACACACAAACACTCCATCTATCATTGATGAAAATTGCATTCTTTATTTTCGGATTCTTACGCTTCACACTGGAAAATGGTACAATTCAATTCAAGATTCTTTTGAGTCAAGGATCAAATACGATAAGATTTTATTTTTACTGAATCTCTTTCTCTTTGGTTCTAGTTTTTTTATTGATATTTTTTCTTTTCTTGTTACACACATTTGGTGATAGTTTTTTTTCTTATCTTATATTCATATAGTTCAAAATTCTTGCAAAGAAATTATTAATTTTTTTTCCTTCTTTTTTAAATTGCGACAATCATGGACGATGAAATTTTTTTCTTATTGAATCAATCGATACATCGATATTTTTTCGACTTATAATCGTCAACATTATCACGAATAGTTCAAAAATTAGCTAATCTTTTGTCCAATTTTACATTGAAATTGAATGATTCTAATCAATTTGAGTGCTGTTGGTTGTTTTTTTAAAATCGTCTTCATTAAAATTTTAATCGTTATTCTTATGATGATGATAATGTTGTCTTATGATCGAATTTTTAGCTTGTTTCATTGGAAATGATAATCTTTTTCTTTTCGATGAAAATTAAAACATTTTCCAACATGAATAGACAGAATACTGGCAAATGGCTGCAAAATCCCTGAAAGTCTTTGATTTTTTTTCAGTGTTAATATTATGTTAATTAGCTTCGATTGAATTTGAACATTATTTTTTTACATTAAATACACCAAGCAGTTATGCCTATGCATAATTACCGAAAATTGACAAGTTCGAATAAAGCAAGAATCCTTTTTGCTTCAAACCCTGTAGCTTATTTGTTAGCTTGATTTTCTCACTCTTTTTCTCTATATGATTTATGGCACACCGACCTCTTACTGTGTGTCTCGGTGCGTGTGATTTTTTTCTTCTTCTTCATTTTGCATCATTAAATGTGCCCAAAAAAAAACATTGATGATTGAATGATAACAGAATTATCGTAAACAAACAAACAAACAAAATTACTACTGAAACAGATTTATGTTCGTTATTATTATTGTTGGCCAAAAATTTTCCTGTCTTGATTTTTGTTTGTTTTCTGCTATTTTCATCCTTTAAATAAACATCAACCAAAACATATTGGATGAATTTGTTTTCTCTATCTCTGTTTCCAATAATTGATGTTTTTTTTTACTTCGCTGATCATCATTCTGATGAGCAATTCAAGTGATTCATTGGCTTTCAATTATTTCCGATTTGATTCAGTTGTTGTTGTTGATTTTTTAAATCTATGTCCAAAAATGGTCTAAATGACTTTTTGATTATCCTCAACTAATCTTTGATGATAAGTTTTTTGCAACATACAACAGAAAATAATAGTTTAGTTTAGATTTTTTTGAAGAAATGACAAGCAATTTGTTTTTTGTATGGATCATCCTCATCATCATCATAGTTATCAAATGACGAAGGAGTGTCATTCAATAGAAGAATTAGCACTTAATTGTCGTCTTTGTGAATGATTTTCTAATCATCATCATCTTCATCTATCAATAGACAAATCAAATCAATCTTTCTATGTTTTTTTTTGACTACTGTGTTGTTTTGTAAATCTTTGCAAACATTCACTTCATAATCGTATTTAATTTTTGATTGTTTTCGATTATCATTGGCAGGTGTGTGTGTGTGTTATCAACTGAATTGTCTACTCATATTTTCACTTATTTTTACCATTCATTCCATTTATCGATCGATTGTTGCTGATGTTAGCGAGAATATCAATTTGTAGCCAATTTATTCATTTCATTTCGACCATCGATTTGTGATTCATTTTTTTTCTTCTTTTCAATTCAACTAAACATAGACGCCGAATCAGCAATCATCAGTTTTTTTTCTTTTTTCTTTTCACAGAAGTATTTCGATCCATTATGAAGTTTAGTCAATGGTAGACCAAATAAAATAATGATGATGAGGTGATTGGTGTTGTTGTTGTTGTTGTTTAGCACATTCACCAAAAGAAATACGATATATCGATTCATAGAATTCATAGAGAATTCGAAGTAAATTTATAAATGGATATCAGTGGTGAACACACCAAAATGGAATGTGTGTGTGTGAGAGAGAGAGAAAAAAACAACAAAAACAAGAATCTTACCACTCTAGAAATCCTAAACCTTATTGCCTATTGATTTTCGTTTAGTAATCAATTTATTCTTGGTTTGCAATTTAGAAAAAATATAGTACATTTTCCAATTTTTTTTTCTCATTCGCTTTTAGCTACTCTCTCGCTATACACGTATTATATTTTACATTTTTTTTCTTTTCGTTTAGTTCAATTCTATGGGCATTGATATTCATTTCATTTCATTCAATGTGCTTGTTGTTTGTCTTGGCAACTTTTCACTTGATTTAGTTCATTTTTATTTTCATTTTTTTCACACATTTATTTTCTCAATACAATTCCCCATCTGAATTGGATTCGATTTTTATTTTTGTTAACCGATTTTTTATTTGAAAAAATCAAAACGAAAGAAGATTCTAGTAGCTTGGTTTTTGCTCTCTTTGGTTGTTGATTTGATGGTGGCAACGAAAAAATAAATTCAAGATATGATGATCATCATCATTGGCATAACCATTGCGCCATCATCATTTATTCACTATATTTTGCTTTTCTTTATTTATTTCTCACTGCTGCCTCTAATTCGATAACGCGATTTTCACATTAACGTTTTTTTCCTTCTTCTTTCTTTTTGCTTTGCTTTTCACTATCCATGTCATCTATCTATCTATCTATCTGGTTTTCTTGTTGTTGTTTGTCC